TCCTGAATGGATCTTATTTTTAGAGCTAGTATACATGACCCAGTTGGTCACAATCTAGAGATAATCCTGAATGGATCTTATTTTTAGAGCTAGTATACAGAGCCCAGTTGGTCACAATCTAGAGATAACCCTGGATGGATCTTATTTTTAGCTCACCTGGCCTGAAGGGCCAAGTGAGCTTTTCTCATCACTTGGCGTCTGTCGTCCGGCGGCGTCCGTCGTCGGCGTTAACTTTTTACATTTTGAACTTCTCTAGAGAACCACTGAATGGAATGAAACCAAACATGGCATGAATGTTTCTTATGAGGTGCTGACCAAGTGTTGTTACTTTGTAGCGAATCCATCATCCAAGATGGCCGCCAGCGGGGGACTTAGTTTAACATAGGACTCTATGGGAAATGCATACAAATGTCTTCTTTTAGAGAACCACTGAATGGAATGAAACCAAACATGGCATGAATATTTCTTTTGAGGTGCTGACCGAGTGTTGTTACTTTGAAGCCTATCCATAATCCAAGATGGCCGCCAGCGGGGGACTTAGTTTAACATAGGACCCTATGGGAAATACATACAAATGTCTTCTTTTAGAGAACCACTGAATGGAATGAAACCAAACATGGTATGAATGTTCCTTATGAGGTGCTGACCGAGTGTTGTTACTTTGAAGCCGATCCATAATCCAAGATTGCCGCCAGCGGGGGACTTAGTTTAACATGGGACCCTATGGGAAATACATACAAATGTCTTCTTTTAGAGAACCACTGAATGGAATAAAAGCAAACATGGCATGAATGTTCCTTATGAGGTGCTGACCAAGTGTTGTTACTATGAAGCTGATCCATAATCCAAGATGGCCGCCAGCAGGGGACTTAGTTTAACATTGGACCCTATGGGAAATACATACAAATGTCTTCTTTTAGAGAACCACTGAATGGAATGAAACCAAACATGGCATGAATGTTTCTTATGAGGTGCTGACAGAGTGTTGTTACTTTGAAGCCGATCCATAATCCAAGATGGCCGCCAGCAGGGGACTTAGTTTAACATGGGACCCTATGAGAAATACATACAAATGTCTTCTTTTAGAGAACCACTGAATGGAATGAAACCAAACATGGCATGAATGTTCCTTATGAGGTGCTGACCGAGTGTTGTTACTTTGAAGCCGATCCATAATCCAAGGTGGCCGCCTGCAGGGGACTTAGTTTAACATGGGACCCTATGAGAAATACATACAAACGTCTTCTTTTAGAGAACCACTGAATGGAATGAAACCAAACATGGCATGAATGTTCCTTATGAGGTGCTGACCGAGTGTTGTTACTTTGAAGCCGATCCATAATCCAAGATGGCCGCCAGCGGGGGACTTAGTTTAACATGGGACCCTATGGGAAATACATACAATTGTCTTCTTTTAGAGAACCACTGAATGGAATGAAACCAAACATGGCAAGAATGTTCCTTATGAGGTGCTGACCAAGTGTTGTTACTTTGAAGCTGATCCATCATCCAAGATGGCAGCCAGCGGGGGACTTAGTTTAACATAGGACCCTATGGGAAATACATACAAATGTCTTCTTTTAGAGAACCATTGAATGGAATGAAACCAAACATGGCATGCATGTTCCTTTTGAGGTGCTGACCAAGTGTTGTTACTTTGAAGCTGATCCTTCATCCATGATGGCTGCCAGATGTGGACAATGTTTAACAAAGGACCCTATGGACAATATATACAAATGTCTTCTTTTAGAGAACCACATACTGAATGGATTGAAACCAAACATAGCATGAATGTTCCTTATGAGGTGCTGACTAAGTTTTGTTACTTTGAAGCTGATCCTTCATCCATGATGGCCGCCAATGGGGGGACTTCCTTTAACATAAGACCCTATGGGAAATACATACAAATGCTTCTTCTAGAGGTGCACTGAATGGAATGAAACCAAAACATGGCATAAATGTTTCTTATGAGGTGCTGATTAAGTGTTGCTACTTTGTTGCCGATTTACTGTTCAAGATGGCCACCAGGATTTTTTTATTAAAATACAGGACCAATATTAAACCAAATTTGGCCTCACTCATTATTAGGGTATCTGTTATGATTTTAATCTATTTTTACATGATTTCCAAAACCAAAGTAGAATCAGGTGAGCGACACAGGCTCTTGAGAGCCTGTAGTTTTTTTACACAAAAGTTAGGTAAGTTAAATCCCATTTGATACCAAAGCAGTTCATTTGTAACTCATTTAAATGAAGCACTGTGTTCAATGTTAAAGAGAATAATTAGTAGCTATGGATGTAAGAAAAATTAATAATTTTACATTTTCACATTTGGTTTTACATGTTTACAGTTGAAATGCACTTTTACTTTTTATATTCGGTCTTTTTAATTTGAGATTGAATTAATTATTTAATGGCTTAGATGATTTATTACAAAGTGATTTCAATTTGAAACCATTTAATCTCCAAATGATGTCATGCAGATATTAGGAGGCAATATAGTCAGCTCATAACTGCCAAATGTTTCTAGGAATATTTTGTAAACAATCAGTTCTTTTGATTATTCTAGATCTCTAGTTAAATTCTAAATGTTATCATCATTGCGTAACAAATAAATGTGCCTTTAATTCCCAGCATTGGTTTTGTATTGTAAATGTACAAAGAGCTTTAGAATATGGATGCATTTGTACTAATAGATTGCAGGGTTATGGGAATATTAATGAATAAATGATTGAATGAAACTTGTTGCTGAGATCCAGCGGGAAAAGTCATTTATAAGCCTTACAATGTATCTGTGTCTGGCTAATTTAATTGAGCCATCAGTGGAAGGTGGTTGATACCACCATTTCTATATGAAATATAACTAGTTTGGGTTAATGGGAGTATTGCAGCAAAAGCAAGATTTATTTCTTCTTACTTTGATATCTAGGAGCTCATCATCATAACCAATCTGTCTGAAATTTCTGTTTGAAAAGATTCAACTTAGCTTTAATGTTTAACAATTTATTGTCAGGTTAAGGCTTTACTGCGTTGTTCAAATTTGTGTTGTCTGAGACATTTTATTGTAATTTTTTTTACAGACATATTAATTGTTATTGATAAGTGTTGTTACCTTGGAGTTGTCAGTTTCTATAGGACTTATGTGTCCTGAATGTATCCTTGGTATTTTCAGCCTTTTTTTTTTTAATTAAAGATTAGTGATAAAAATGACACTTACTTAAGCTTAGCTAATTAGATTTTTAGCAACACAACAAGCAATGAAGTGTCTAAACACTTTGATGACATGGGAAAAACAAAAATCAATATAGTATGTGGCACCTATACAAGAACAATCTAGTTTTTGATAATTTTTGTCGTTATAGAAAGGGCTTAGTTGGGGTCAAAGCTCTAGTCTGAGTTATAATAGCTTTTCTATAGATTTTTTTCTTCAACTCCCAGTGCCTGCTTTTTCAATTATTTCCACTTTTTGTTTTCCAAAATAAAAAGATAATAAAGGGATTAAAGATTACTGACTCTAAAATAAGATAAAAAAAATTTTGTGTTTTGTTCTCGTGATTATTATTGTCCCCTGCACAACGCGTTGCAGGTGGACATAGAAATACCGGGCATCAGTTCTACGGTCTTGTTAGTGCTCTCACATGTACATTTCTTGGCAGATTTTTATAAAACTTATATCATAGGTTTATGTCAGCATTGTCTTTGACGAGTTTGAAAATCAGTACTGATCAATTATTTTCTAAAGAGTAATACCCCTTGGAAACATTAATTTTATGGAAAATTTCATCATTAGCGCTCTCATGTGTACAATTCTTACCAGATTTTTATGAAACTTATATTGTAGGTTTATATCAGTAATGTCTTGGACAAGTTTGAAAATCAGTCCTGATCAATTATTTTAAAAAGAGTTATGCCCCTAATGGAAACATTAATCATATGGAAAATTGCATTGTTACAAATGTATAGCGCTCTGACATTTGTACAATTCTTGCCAGATTTTTATGAAACTTATATCATAGGTTTATATCAGGAATTTCTTAGACATTTTCGAAAATAAGTTCTTATCAAATATTTTTAACGAGTTATGCCCCTTGGAAATATTAATTATATTTGAAATCACATTGAATTTGCTCTGAATCATTCATTATCTCAGAAATATATTTATCAACAGTTTTAAAGAACCAAAAAAGTGTTTTTTTTTTATTATTTATTGCCCTTGATCCTTGGATAGATAAAATATGTGAAATGCGGGGGACATGGGAACTCTGTTCTTTTATTTAAACAATTTAGCTGTAGCTTATGTACATACTAATAGGAAGATGTGGTATGATTGCCAATGAGACAATTATCCACCAGAGACCAAAGATCAAGGATGTAAACAACTTTAGGGCAATGTACTGCCTTCAACAAATCTATATCATATAGTAAGCTATAAAAGCCCCGACAAAACATAAAACAATTCCATAAAGAAAGCCTACAGCCTGATTGATTTACAAAACAATAAAGGAAAGAGAGCAAACAATGACAACAACTGAATTACAGGCTCCTGACTTGGGACAGGTGCATACAGAAGGTTGGGGGGTTAGATATGTTTGAAAGCACCTATTGTGACCCTCGTCCTGACCTTGGACATTGGTATAACAGCATAACATTATAACAAACTACAAATGTATAGAATTCAGTTGGAAAAGGCCTAGGCTGAAATGTAGCTGTTGCAAGCATTTTCCTGTGCAATAGAAGTTACTGTGTCCAGTTCATTACTGTATTAAGCATGATACTATGTCCACACTTGCTTTAGTTTTACAGGTACTTGTCAACCTTGTTGCTTTTCCATTTATCAAATGATAAAATTATTCAACATATCATGTTGATAGTTATATAAGAAAATAAAGATATGAAATATTTATTGAAATATGAGAATAATGTTTTACCATTACGTAGATGAGATGACTTACAAAATTTACATGTAATCTTTAAAATGTTTTTCCTTTTTTCTACTTTTAGCCAAGTTGATGTTACAGATGAAGTGAGGGAATATTTACGGAAGCCTACGTTTGATAACTGGCAGTGGGATGACCCAGAAATGTTGATATTACTTCGCCAAATGTATATAGATTTAAATCTGGTATCAAATCTAAATATTGAGGTATTACTGAATTTATATATTTGGGTTTTGTCATCACTTTATTCATGTGATGTTGATGACTTTTTCATAGTAAAATGATCAGACAAATAAGGAAGATGTCTAAATGATAAAGCAATTTACATTTATAATCTGTTCAAAACTTAACTTTTCTTTCTTTATGCCTCTCCAGTACAGTAGTTCGGGAGATATTATTTTTTCCAGTCTGTGTATCTGTTTGTATATTTTTAAAATGGGTTGTCTCTTTGTTTGTCTGTAATCAGATACAAGATTTACATTAATGCTATCATTGAAGAGTTATATTGACAGGAACTTCAAGAAACTGACTTCAAACGTATAAAGTCAATGCTGCAAAATTGTTAATTAACTCAATATCTCATATCTATGCATGGGTTCAATCAAAGTTTTTTAGGATCCTCGTCATTAATCGTAATTACGGAATATACAAAAATGACGTGATGTCCCATAATTGGAAAGGATATAGAATTTAATGACTACCGGTTTTGCTGCTTTGAAATAGAGAAAAAGGAACAATAAAAACCTTGCGACTTTTTTCACAAAATATCTTAAGAGTTTAAATACTCACAAGTCATTGACATTTCAGTTTCTTATTAAGGTTTACTTGATAACTTTTACAGATATTATTATTATTAAGTGTCTCCTAAATGTCCAGTAGCAAACATTTCATACATTTTCAACATTTATGATTATAACTATCATTCACCTTTTAAAATTATTAAATTTGAACCTGTATATTAAAGGTGTATCATGTTTAACTTAACTATATCCTACCTTAAAATCCTAATATTTTATGTAGAGGTCCTTACTCAGAGAATTTAACCTCTTTTAAACTTATTTAGTAAACATGTCACAGTTTTCATTTACATTGAGATGATCGAGAAATAATGACTATTTTTGTTACACTCCATAAAAATTGACAACATTTAACCTAAATTTTGAGTTGTCAGCCGCCATCCTCCACACTACACGTGCATCACATTATTTTCTGCAAACACTACTTCAGGTATATGTAATTTTTTTTATAGGATGTTTCCAAGTTCCAACGATTAAAACAAATTAAATGAAAAATAAAATAATCTTACATTCTCTCTGAATGCAGTTAATTTTCTTATGTCATTCTGTGAAAATAGGGACCAATTTTTATACGACCATGGTCGTATATTGGTATCATGTCATCTCTCTGAAATTATACCACAAGTTTCCATACCACAAAGGGATGGTTAGGATTGGCTTTGGGTTTTTTTGGCTCAAACCGTTTAGGAATTAGGGGCAAAAAAAGGGGAAAAAACAAGGGTTTCCTGGTTAATGGACAATTTAAAAGCAGTGTAAGGGAGGTAAATCCAAACATACAAAATCGATAACAAATCATGTGACAAGATTGGCCTCAGTCAACTGAACAGGGGAAGGCGGCATCACAGATACCCCACTATAAGTTATCTACGGATATGAACGTAGATAACGAATTTATCCCCGGTCTTAGTCCAAATATGGCGATTTTTAGAGAAATTCGACCACAAAGTGTTACTTGAAAGCAATGTTTTTTTCATTATTTAGAAAAGTATTATTGAAATATGGGAATTTGACATATTTTTAAGGAGGCGTAGGGTACTACCTTTGGTAGAACCCTACAGGAAGTCAAATAGAAGACGGTTTTAATCCAGAGATAGAGAAACTGGAATGGGTCAAATTTGGCGCTCAATGTTGTGAGAGTTATGTCATAGATGGTGTGATGTGAACGTGGGTCATTTGCATAGCTAGGTCAGTAGTCCCATTCATTGACAATGTGGCAGCCAAGTGATGCAATTACTCAAATGAGTGCAACTGATTGGCATAATAGAATAAAATCGTTAGTGGATTAAATATTTAATTAAAGACATCTACAGAATTCAATATTTCACAAGGAACAACCATGGAACTAAGGAAAACTTGTGTGAAGTTCCCGGTATATTGGGTAGCAACGTCAGGGTATATGGGTTAGCAACACCCAGGGCTATGGGTTTTGTAATGACGTGTGATAACCAATCAAAATCCTAGAAATATACTCAGCCGGGGATAAAAAGGAGTCATTACGTACTTGACAAACTGAGTCGGATTCTTTTATTTTTTTACAGAAATCAGTGGGAGTGGAATGTGCTAATTTTTTGTTGGAGTTCCTGTCAATATGATACTTCCATGATACTATGAATTTATGGTATAATCAAGTTGATACTTATCTTTGAAATGTATGCCAAATATGGGTATTGACCAAGTTTTTGTGGTTTAGCAAATATGTTTCAATTTAGATATAAGAACAAAATGTACTGAATATAACGACAAGATAAAACAGCTATAGATCACCTTTCGCCTCCAACAATGAGCAGAACCAATACTGTTTAGTCAGCTCCCAAAATTCTATCTTATAAGCTACCATTTCCATACAGCTAATCTCAAGAGTTTTGTACATAGATTCTCTAGGATGATTCTAATTGCATGGTTATTCCAGATATGTTTTCCCTAAATACATATGAACAAGTGTACCTTTACAAAATGTGTCTAGATTAAATTTGTAATTCAATTCATTGCCCGACATATTTTATGAAAAAAAATCAACTAAATTTGACTCTTTCCTTGTGATAAGCATTGTTAGAACACTAAATAAATTTAGTGAGATGAAAGAAGAAGAGATCATAATTGAGTTGTCTTGTCAGTCTTAGTCAAACTCAGCTAACTGTATTGTTCACTGTCAATTAGTGTAAAATATATACTTTGACAAGCACTGAACATCGCCTCCGGGAACTCTTACACATTGTGTATTGATTGGACAGTCAGACAACTTAGTTATCATTAGAACAATTCTTAAAATGTATCCAAAGGCAAATATTATCAAACTTCCAGATTGAAACAGTCACATAATCAAACTATTCTGTTAATTCCCACCACTATTTTTAAATTCAGAAGTGGTTTCATATATAGAGGAAAACAGAACCCTTGAAAAGGCAATTAACTTAATTTCACAATTATTACAACCTCATTGCAAATGCAAATAACAGGGGACATTAGGGGTCTAATACTTGGTATGAATAGGGTTAATTTTTTATATTTACTAAGTTCACATAATAAGTTATTACATAAGTTGTGATTTCTCACTAAAATACAATCTGATAATATCACATGAGCAAAACAATCGATAATTTCACTCCTCTGACATCATACAACAATGGGTGTTGTCAAGACATTGTTGAAAGCGTTACATCAAAGCAAATAACAAAATGTGTTGAAAAAAAAATTTCTACTTCATTTCCAAAAAAGTTCATGGTCAATGTACATGTAATAAAACGTCAATAACTAATCCAAAAATTATATTTTAATTGAAATATTCAACTTGCAAATGAACTACACTGATAAATAACCTGGTGAATTAATGCGTTGTTTGGTCACTTCGTGAATATTTTTCCGTATTTGAATTCTATGATTATATATATTATAAATATCTATATTTATAGGATTATTAAGTCATTGAATCTTCACTAAGGATTTGTTTTAAGGACATTTATAGATTTGACGTATACTCAAGGTCAAAGGTCAAACTAAGGTAGCATCTAAGTAAATTGTCTATCAGCAGTATACATGGTATATTGCCTTTTCAACTTTAAAAATCATTCTTCATCAAACATAATTTTAGTATTTAAGGAGTGAATGACCTCAACTAATTTGCATAGTCAGGCAGTATTTTTAAAAATCACAGAGAATTAAGATCTTAATATATTGTCCATGATTGAAACTTTTATGAATAGTAAAGATAACTATTGTAAACAGACAATTAAACAAAATATTTAAAAAGCAATTTAGTCCAAAAAAATAAAGATAAGAAGAAAATATTACTTTCTTCATGTTCTTACCTATATAAGTTACATTTGTAAATATTATTGAATGACTACAAGTGATACCTCCAAATTATTCACCAGTACTGTTTTATATGGTTATGGAAAAGAAGAAAATATGACTTCTTACTTTGCTTTAACATATTTATGTTGAAATATCAAGGGCAAACAATATCTAGTTTATCATACAAAATTGTAGTTTTATCATAACATAGTAAACCCTGTTAGAAATCAGTTGGAGCTAAAATGATGGAAACAAATTGTGGTGTCCTTGTTTTAATCTTTTTTAGATACATACATTAATATTTCTTGTTTTATTGAATTTACTGTATAGAAGTTACATCATTACATGTATTAATGCATTGACGTTATGTCGTATCTCTTCAGGCATTAAGAGTCTCTAAAAAATATGTGTAAAATTTTAATGGAATGTAAAAGGTATGACGTTGCCGAGGCTGTTGTGCTTAATTTATTGACTAGTTGCATGTTGCAGTAACATTATAATGCAATTTTTCTATCTCCATCATTTTCAGTTTTTCCATAAATACTTAATGAACTATAAAGTTATAATAGAAGAAGCAATTAGACATTGAGCTCAACTTCATTTTCATTGTATGATAAATTAGATTGGAAATTCCTGATATTTGAATGCACTACTACTGTGCTTTAATGTTGTAACTACCAGGGGGACAAAATAATCTAGTTTATCATACAAAATTGTAGTTTTGTCATAACATACTTAACTCTGTTGGAAATCAGTTGGAGTCAAAATTATAAAGAAAAATTATTCTGAATTATGTATTGATTATCAAAAGCTGATTTTCCCATTAGGCCAAATAAATAGATATATGTTTTATGCTTTTCCTCATTTAGAAAATATGGTACAGGCACATACAGAATTTTTGTGAGCATTAAACTCTCTGCCTAAGTTGGGCCTGTAATGTAATGTACAACATAAGAACAAACTAAAGAAATCAGTTGGAAAACAGACTCATCAAATCAGCACTTAGCACATACAAATCAAAAACAAAAAGACAAAAAACACCACGTACTGATTTAAGAGCACTGGCAATGTCCTTCGACATCAGGTACTGATTTAAGAGTACTGGCAATGTCCATCGGTATCAGGTTCTGATTTAGGAGTACTGACACTGTCCATCGACATCAGGAACTGCTTTAAGAGTACTGGTAATGTCCATCGACAACAGATGCTATTGATTTACTGTTGTACTTCCAAAGATATCTTGAGATAATTCAACTTTGTTTTTATCAAAGTTTTTTTTTTTATATTCATATTCAAACTAAAGTCTGTAAAATTGGTATTTGCTGCTTTTCTACTAAGCACTTGGTATTAAGGAGACAGAATAATGTGTCCAGGTAGGGTGACATGTCTTACCTGGTGAACTATCACATTAAAAATCCGACTCAGCATTTCAGTCTAAAGTAGGGGTCATATTCATATTGGACTAACGTGTTCTTGTCCTGAATATGCATCTATTTTGCTGCTGCACATTAAACAGCCAGCTCTCCATCCATGATGTATCTGTGTTTTGTCTGATGAATTACAATTGTATGTTTTACAATTTGAAATATTTAATTTTTGTTCAAAACTTGTTGTTTTTAATTTCAGATGCCAATCTTACATAATTGGTTGTATGAAATTTATAGAAATTATAACCAAGTGCCTTTTCACAACTTCAAACATTGTTTTATGGTTGCACAAATGGTAAGTTTAAGAATATTTACATCAGCAGACGAATTAATAGACCACTTTCGAGTTCGTTGCATTTCCGTCAAAAACTTTGGTTTTAGTGAACATCATTCGTGCGTTTAGGGGCATCGCCACTTAAATTCTTATAATTGATAATCAGCACTGCTGTAATTAGGGAATTGTGATTAAGTACTTATGGAACAAACATTATTTCTAGTTTGTCCTGCATAATGTCGATCACGAAGACGCTTGATGAACTTTAATAGTGCAGGAATACAGGTGATCCCCTCTATCTGGTAAATTACGTCATAAAGGCGGGCATAATTGACGAATTTTTCCGGTGCAGGCTATAACACGAAAGTGGTCTATTACAAAAGCATTAAAGTATATGTTAATTCTAATTTCAGCAATGTTTGAAAATGATAAAAGTTCATTGTTGGTCATAAGTACCTTTTCTGAATTCAAGAAAATATATTACCACCCATTGATATTTTCAGTGTTCAATCAGACAATGTGTTTTTACCCCTGCTCTGAAAGAGGGGATATACTGGTAACCTCTGTCAATCTGTCCTTGTGTCTATCTGTCCATTCCTCCACATGTCCCGCCGTCTATCTGCCATTACTATTTTGTCACCCTGCTAGCACCTTCATTTTTTGCTGGGTCCTCCTCAAATTTGGTTGAAGGTATTGAAACCACAGATGAATTTGAGCACCAGCAAAATCTGAAAGCGAGGCTCATTTCTTTTCTGGGTTTTTCTTCTTCACATTTGTAGGAAATTAGTTTCTACTTATAATCTGATGACTTCTTCAATGAGGAACTATTTTTCAGGAGTGGGACATGTAAACATATCTTGTATTAACTGTTAAGGGGGCATCAGATAATGTGAGCTTGCTCACTAAAGGTTCATTCATTTATGTTTTTGTTCCATGAAAAAGCAAATACAATTTTATTGCACGTCTTAGTTATATTAATCCCTCAGAGATATTCAAAATGGCAGCGAATATTTGATAGTAAGGTCATTTTATGCTGGGAAAAAACATTGATTAAAAATCTAGCCCCATGATAGATTTGGAAACATATTTAATGACTGATCAAATTGATGCTTTTCTTTATTTAATTTATGTCAATTTGAAAATATTATTGTATTATATTGTAACATCAGGGGCCAGTCACCTGACATATTATTTATTATGATGAAATAAACTAAAATGAAAGTCACAGGTTCACATACTTGTGCAAGTTCTAGTTGTCAAAATCTCTACCAACACTGTGAAAATTGTTTATAAAGTTTTATCGTTGACTGCCATTATCATTATTAAAAGGAGGGGCGGAAGATACCAAAGGGACATTCAAACTGATAAGTCGAAAAGAAACTGACAACGCCATGGCTAAAAAGGAAAAAGACAAACAGACAAACAATAGTACACAAAACACAACATAGAAAACTAAAGAATGAGCAACACAAACCCCATCAAAAACGGGGGGGTGATCTCAGGTGTTCTGGAAGGGTAAGCAGATCCTGCTCCACATGTGGCACCTGTCGTGTTGCTCATGTTAGTACAAACCTGGTAATAAGTCTAATTTGGTAGGTCACATTTGGGAAAAGGGGACAGGATTGTAGTTACAACATAAGGAAAATATCCGCTATAAAAGGGAGGTTTGAGTATCCCCCTTTCCAAAAAATTAGTTTGTATGTTTCTCCGAAGTATAAAACAAGCACTGTAGGAACTCGACATATTGTATTATCATTGATTTACAGATTACAACATGAAATTAATTGCATAGAAATCAAACTTGATCACCAGTGTTTGATTCACATTTCTAATAAAGACATAGCTTGCTTAATTGTTTACCAGGTCTAGAATCAATCATATTGATAATCTTCCTATTGAAAATTTCTTCAACTGATTTGATTTTGAATTGAATTACCTGGTATTTCTGTTCTGGTAAACAACCTAAAGCAACTATTTGATAGCAGATATTTAAGGAGTGTAGTCTAATAAGGAAATAACTATTATTGTATTGCTACAATTTTTACAAAAAATATTGAAACTTTTACAAAGATACATAGCAAAATAAGTAAAATAGTGAAACCAGTCAAAAGTATATGTAAGATTGATGATTGATTGGTATTTAACACTATTAGCCATTGGTGGCGGTCAGTTTTTGTCCCTGGAACGAAAGTCGCAGAATGTGAGACATAAGGATTTTAATCCAGCGTCGGCAGTGTAACCTATTTGTATTAAGCTTTATATTTCAGAGGGAAGAAGACTTGGATGCTTCATACTTTGTATGCAGATACCTTATGTTACGAAGTTTCTGTCTGTCACATGTCCATTGTTCTTGACCTCATTTTCATGGTTCAGTGACTGCTGAATTTCATTTTTTTTTAAATGTGAATTTTTCACTCATGAGTAATAGGATAACTATATTTGGTATAGGGGTTCCTTGCAATGTCTATATGTCTGTCAGACAGGGGTTCACCTGACCTTAATTGACCTCATTTCATGGATAAGTAATCAAGGTCAAAGTTACATGAATAGGTCCGTTTCTCAGATACTGTAAGCAGTAGGTCAACTATATTTGGTATATTTAATGATTGTAAGGTGTACATACAGAGCTCCAGATAAGAATTCACAAATTGGGGTTTTTACCCACCATTTTTTTATGTAATTGGGTGATAAAGTTTTTAAATTGCATTATCAATTCCAATTCACCCCTCAAGCAAATATCAAACTGGGTTTTTCACCACCAAGCTCCTTAATGTATTGGGTTTTTTCATCAACACGATATTGAATGTTTAGGCATGTTATAATCACATTATATCAACCCCATGCAGATGTTTTTCCATCTTAAATGTGTTTCTTTCTTTGTATATATGCTAGCTGTTTTATTTGGTTTATTCACTGACGAGCAATTGTACGTTTAATTTGTGTCCGATTTTAAACGTTCTGCCAGTTTTGTATTTTCTCACAACTTATATAAACTGTGTCACTAGTTAGACAGTTACTAATTACCTTTCTAGATCCCATATGATCACCCTACAGTTTAGTTGGGGTAGGCGTGGCTAAGTGTTTAGATTTGTATGTAATATATGTGAAATTTAGGTGCTGTAAGAAAGTTTTGCCAGTCCTTTCACCTATTTGCCAGATCTACTTTTTAATTAAAATAATAAGTAGTTCCCAGATTTAAGATATACCCCAAAACCTTGACCAGGTTTATATATAGGTTTAATGACGGAGACCACATTCAACTTAAATTTACAAATAATTCTGCAACATCAAATAAATAAATGACAATGTTAAACTGCACTTGCCAATAAGACAACTATCATAAGCATACAGAACAATAAGACCAAAACAAAGAAAGTGTCAAGATGCATTGACGTAAAAAACGGATATGTGTATTCACTCATCAACTAAAATGAAAAAAAATAATATATAAACTAAAATTATACTTGAATGTTTTTGTTTAATTTAATTTACATAAATCTGGGTTAAGTTGTCCCAACTGATTAGAAGTTTTGGTTTCTGATGCTTTCCAAATACATATATCATGTCATAATTGATTTGGCCTTTCACTTTTTCCAACTGATTTCGTTCTTGACAAAACCCCGTGTTTATCGTTCTAGCAATGTTCTCTTAAAGGTACGCAAACGGGTCTTGTTATCATAATAACTTTCCCTAAAGTATCAAAAAGAAGCTGAAAACATGCTTCTATTCAATATTTTTATCGGATATTTACTTTCGTTTTAACTCATTGTATGTTATGATAAATCCAGAGCAATTCGAAAAAAGTATGACAACAAGACAAACGCTTATTGGATAAACGTAGAGAAGATCGAAATGTTTTCATAAACACGTGTACCTTTTGAGCAACGGAAAATTCCAACAGGGACCCATTTCGGCTACTTGATGCAGGGCTCTATTTTTAGAACGAAAGGTCATTTCCAATTATAAATATTATAAAAATAGATTTACGCGACGACTGTAATCAGATAAGGGTAAATAACGCAAACGATAGCGAATAAAAGCGTTAAGAACTCATGGTTTTGGCATATAATTGGGTTTTCCTTTGAATTAATTGGGTTTTTGAACCCTGCAATGGGCAATTGCATTGGGTTTTTAATTATTTGTATTGCGTGATCACGCAAATACGCAGCTTATCTGGAGCTCTGTTACATATCAGTCTGGCAGGTTCGTCTCACCTTGATCTCATTTTCACGGTTCATTTGTCAATGTTAAGTTTTTGTGTTTTGGTCTGTTTTTCTAATACTATAAGCTAATTTGTGTATTGAATGATTGTAAGGTGTACATGTCTGTCTGGCAAGTATCATCTGCCCTTGGCCCCATATTCATAGATCAGTGTTAAGTTTTAGTAGTAAGGTCCTTTTGTAAGATAATATTATCAGTAGGTCAACTGTATTTGGTAATGGAATGATTGTAAGGTGTAAAGGTCTGTCTGGCAGACTCATGTTATTGTTCGAGGAAGCGGGAGTGCTCACAGGGAACCACAACTGACAATCCTAGTAAATCAAAATTGGAGTCGAAAGCTCCTCACGGTTCATGGCAAAATTTGAACTCACAGGCTCAGTGTTGACAGACTTGTGGTACGGCAGTTGGATTACTTAGACCATTTGGGCACTGAGGCACCTAGTATATGTATGAACTTTAGGCAAACTTTTGAAGTTATGGCTATTCCCTTATATTGGCTTCGATAGAGCTGATATAATCAAAAAGGACCAAAAGTGTAGCTGAACTAGACAAGGAATTAGAACCATGTCTAAAAAATATACACTTTGATACTCATTCCCCCCAAAAAATTCTGGAAAATAAGCAATTCCCAAAAGTCAGCCTTAATTTTCAAATTGTATGCTAATTAGTTGGCAGATTACAAAGCAGCTAATGCAGATCTATAAAACTAAGTATGTTGTTTTAAATAGTAGTGAGCAGTAGGTGAGTGGTCAGAGGCTGTTGGTGAAATCAGCTGAGACATTGACAATTCCAGTTTTTGGACATCATTATGCTCACTTTAAAATCTTTATGACCCATTGCTTTCTTTGAAAGGTACATTTGAAAATAAAACATTACATATACAACATTGATATAAAATACATTCAACAAATGTGTATAAGTGCCAATACAATATGAACACAAGTCATCAATTATTGTTTGGGGATTTAAATGCATAGAAACAAGAATACATAGCTATATTTGTATACTGTAATTTCAGAAATTATTTATGTTTTTATTATTGCAAATAATGCTTCTGGGCGAGAATCGCAATAATATGAACTCGCATTCTGACATCTGATACAAAATTGTATCTGTATGCAGACTTTTCCTAAAATGACAATAATAAATTCTGCATTTTTGTCCTTTCTTCAAAAATCGCAAATGCAATAATTTCTGAATTTATAGTATATATATGTAAACCTCAGATCTGTGTACGGCCTCAAATATGTGTCCGTTTCTCAAATCTGTACCCCATCGTGACGTCAATCGCTAATCTATGTCCGCTAAAAAAGATACGGCCTCAAATCTGTGTCCTATTTTCACATTTGTTTTCAATCTATGTCTGTTAAAAAAATATACGGCCTCAAATCTGTGTTCTTTTCTTAAATCTTTTTCCAGTTTGTTTCGCCATGCGCAAATTTATGCCAGTCTAATAAGTACGGCCTGAAAGGATTTTTGTTTTATTAAGTCATTTCCCATAATTCAATGTTAAGTTGGGATGTGTTCTCCATGTGTGTGCTTAAAAATTTTACATGAGTGTGTAATTATTGTATGATTTACATTTTATTGTAAAACTACATTTTCAAAAATTTGCTTTTCTTGATCCCGTGTTTAATTGTTCTGTAGTAATTATCATTACTTCCCTTTACTCGTTACGTCTTGATAACAAATACGAAATATAAGTTAATAAACAACCTGAGACAAAATGACATCTGTATACAAGCAACTAAAGATACATGTACGGCCTTCATCAATGAATTAAACATATTCTGTATCGTAAGCTATAAACACATACACCTATTTACAAACGTTTTGTTCAATGTTTCAATGTATAGATACCACATAAAAATGTGTATGGTATAATTTATTGTGTTTAACAACAACATTTTGTGCCACTATCTTATTAAACAAATTTTTTGTTTTTAGGAAACTATTCAAGTTTTCGAATCTATGTATTTTTTTAAAATCCATTGTGTACCTTGACATCAACATTCAACAACCACAAAGGACATAGATTTGTGTACCCTGTTGTTGTAGTTGTAATAAAATTCTGACAATTTTGAAGGCCAGTCAGTCTTTTTCCACTGACATCTCTTTTCTAAAATATTCTGTCAGTGTTCTATTGAAGCGTTCTATGTGTCCTTGACTCTGTGGGTGATAGGGACGTCGATGTAACTGTCTTACGTCTCTAAATTTCGATAAAAGACATAAATTTGAGACAAAAATGGCCATAAATTTGAGTTAATAAAGGACATAGATTGGAGACAATACAGGACATAGATTTGAGACAATAAAAGACATAGATTTGAGACAATAAAGGACATAGATTTGCGGAAAGGACATAGATTTGAGGCTGGACATAGATTTGAGGCTTACATATATATATATATATATATATCAGTGTCAGATGAATTAATTATTTTGATGCTTTTACTCTGCTTACCATAGGTGTTGATGACAGTTGAGTGATTTTCTATTTTTAGATGTATGGGTTGACATGGTTGATTGACCTGCCATCATTACTAGATGATATTGATATTTTTATCCTGCTTACCTCAGCTATTTGTCATGACTTAGATCATCCAGGGTATAATAATGCATATCAGGTTTGTATATACTGAGATACACTTTCCAAATTTTGTTGTATTTTCATGATTTGTATGCTTATTTACAATTATAAATGTACTGTGTGCCATTTTCTGTGTCAAAGAATGTTCAATACGAATTTGAAAATCAATGCAGATCAACTATTTTTAAAAGAGTTATGCCACTTGGAAAAATTATTTAGAAAATTGCATTGTAAGTACTCTTGCGCTTACATTTCTTGTAGGATTGTCATTCAATTTATATCATATATTTATATCAACAATGTCTTAGGTGAGTTTCAAAATCAGTGCTGATCTAATATTCCTATAGGTGTTATTTTTCTTTGAAGTGTAATTTATATTGAACATTGCTTTGTAAGCAATCTCATATCTATGTTTCTTGTCAAATTTTGATGAAGTTTATATTAAAGGCTTATATCAGTAAGGTCTTGGAAGAGAGCGTACCAACTATTTTACAGGAGTTATTCCTGTGGAAATGGGTTATTGCCCTTGGACAGATAAATTATGTGCCAGGTGGGGGGAACATTGAAAGGCTGTTCTTTTATCTCTCTTAAAATTAATGTCTTTTCTTAATTCCAAAACATTCACAGTTTTAATAATTTAGAATTTTGCATCTAGCTGATACACTTTAAGCATGTTCAGCAATTTAGTTAATGTTTTATTGAAAAGTATTAAAATCAAAAAGATCAGTATTTATATCTATAAAAAAAATTCCTTCCCTCAGGCTTATGATCTAACCAGACCATCACTTCAACTATCCTTGGTTTTCTTAAGTTACACTCCTAATAAGATAAAAAATAATTACAGCAATTAGAAAATATCCCTTTAAAAACTTCAGATTATTTTTAAACCAGGAAGTTTTATAATATTGTACATATGGCAAATCCTCCGGAAGATGTAAAACCTGTGCATTGGAAGTAATTAGTGTTGATCATGTAAAATAATGATAAGCGCTTGTTCCTTATGGGCTATTATGCAACCATACACTGAGGAATATGACCAATTAGTATGCTAATTATCTAATGACTGCAATGTAGTTTTAAATTTTTGACTAACCTTGACGAATTCGTGGAGATGAGGCTAAGGGTAATTACTACTGATCATGTAAAATAATGATAGGCGCTTGTTCCTTGTGGACTTTTAGGAAGCCATTCACTGAGGATTATGATCAATTAATATACTAATTATCTAATGACTGCAAATACTTTTTTATTTTTTTACTCACATTGGTGAAGTCGTGAAGGTGAGACTTAAGGGTGCTGTTGGCTGGTCAACTATTTGTTAGTTTGTGATAAGGTCAGTTTAAGGGGAACCATTAATGGTAAGTCGAGGATATTTGGTATGATGTGCATAAGCATTGGCACATGTCATTTCCACAGATATTATTTGGCCTTGCAACTTTAGTCATGGTTCATTGACTTTGAATTTTTATACAACTGAAGACACATTGGTTTTTGCACTATAACTTTAGTTTAAGTGAATGGATCTCTATGAAATTTTACCATAAGGTTAAATACCACAAAAGGAAGGTTGGGATTGATTTTGGGGGTTATGGTACCAACAGTTAAGGAATTAGGGGCCAAAAATAAGCATTTTCTAGTTTCCAGACAATAACTTGTGTGACGATGTATGGATCTCTTTGAAATTATACCACAAGTTTCCATACCACAAAGGGATGGTTAGGATTTGCTTTGGGGGGTTATGGCTCAAACTGTTAATAAGGAATTAGGGGCAAAAAAGGGGGAAAAACAAGGTTGTCCTGGTTAATGGACAAATACTTTAGTACAAAACATAATTTAAAGCAGTGTAAGGGAGATAAATCAAATACATCATTTGAATTACCTCCCTTACACTGCTTTTAAATTATGTATAAAGAAATGGTTAATTAAGACAATTTAAAAACAGTGTAAGGGAGGTAATCCACATACAACGTTTTGATTACTTCCCTTACACTGCTTTTAAATTATGTTTAAAGAAATGCATATTTATAAAGGAAGACCAGTAAAAATATCTGCAAATGTTGCATCTTTTTTTTACAAAAAATTCCATATGAAAGATTTAACACCATATTTTAAATTCTATTATAAAATAGATTAAGTTAGCACTATGGTAAATTTAAATGGGTAATTATGGTTGCAAATTCCATTGGAAATTTGAATTGAGATTATGACCATATCTTGAGGGAAACAATTTTTTGGGGGAAAAAGGGGGGCGGGGGTGTAAAAAGAAATTGTGGAGGGTCAATTTTTTCTCATTTCAGATTTCAGAAATTAAAAAGAATTATTCTTCAAATATTTTTTTTTTTTTCAAATTTCAAATATTGAAAAATTTCAAGAAGTAATCTTTAATTGCACAGTATGGCGCATTAGATTTGTAAAATCTTTGACCACATTTATTTATTTGTTATGCCGAATCTGACCGTGTATTTAGATTTTTAATTTTGGGTTCAAAATTAAACTTTGTTAGATTTCAACAAAAATTGAATATATGGGGTTCTTTGATATGCTGAATTTAACCATGTATTTTGATTTTAGGGCCCCGCTATCAAATTTGTCCACATTGAGGTCAAAAAGGTCTAAAATTAAACTTTGTTTGATTTCATCAAAAATTGAATTCTTTGGATTCTTTGATATGCTGAATTTAACCATGTATTTAGATTTTGGATATTAGACCATAATAGGTTAATTAAAAAATTTTAAGTTCTTAGACCACATTCATTCTGTGTCAGAAACCTATGCTGTGTCAAATATTTAATCACAATCCAAATTCAGAGCTGTATCAAGCTTGAATGTTGTGTCAATACTTGACCCAACTGTTCAGGGTTCGACCTCTGCGGTCGTATCAAGCTGCGCCCATCGGAGCATTTTATTTGCATTGTTTACATGTTAAAGTGTTGTAATTTCAATTTTGACATTTGTATTATACTATCAAAATTGCATACAGGTGAGACATATTTCTGTGTCAAATTGTTATTTATACTTTAATCCATTGAGAAAGTATGAAATTAAAAATTGTGTTTGTAAATTTTGTTTTCCAATAACACCAAGAGATTGACAGAGTGAATGTCTTTGAAGAGGATTTTTTACCTCATACTGGGAGAATTACATGGAATTTTAGTTCATTTTTATACGCCCATTTACGGGACGTATTATGGTATACCGTTGTCGGTCTGTCCGTCCGTCGTCAACATGTCGTACATTAGCTCAAAAGCGCTTTAACCATTTTGCATAAAACTTTGGTGAATTGTTTATATCTATTGACGTGAGCTCCCTTTCGTTTTTTATAAATTTTAGATTTTACGTTTCTGAGTTATGGGGTTTTATTCATTAAAAAAAGGGGGATTTTCCAGTTTTTGGACAATAACACAAGAATGCTTTCACCAACTTGCAAGAAATTGTGGTGAATTGTTTATATCTATTGACATTAGCTCCCTTTCGATTTTTGTATATTTTAGATTTTACGTTTCTGAGTTACAGGGTTTTATTCATAAAAAAAAGGGTGATTTTCCAGTTTTCAGACAAAAAATCAAAAATGCTTTCAGCAGTTCGTATGAAACTTTGGTGAATTGTTTATATCTATTGATGTAAGCTCCGTTTAGAATTTTATAAATTTTACATTTCTGAGTTATGGGGTTGTATTCATTAAAAAAGTGGGGATTTTCCAGTTTTCAGACAATAACTCAAAAATGCTGTCAGCAATTCTCATGAAACTTTGGTGAATTGTTTATATCTATTGATGTAAGCTCCCTTTACATTTCATAAATTTCTAATATGACATTGAGAATTAATTGAACTTTAATTGTTTATAGTCTGACAACAGATTTACTAAGTATTGCGCAACAGCACAGTGTATTGCACAACAGCAAGAAATCTTTAATTGAATATAAATTCAATTCATATAACCAATTTCAAGTTCTTCAATATGGTGGGGGGGGGGGGGGGGGGGGGGGGAGAGGTTAATACGCAACAGCATAGTGTATTGCACAAAAGCAAAAAAAAAAAGGGGGCTAAATTTTTTATTTTTTTTGTGGGGGAAGGGGGGGGTCAATTTGCAACAGCAAAGTGTATTGCACAAAAGCAAAAATTGAATGTAAATTCAAATCATATAACCAATTCTAAGTTCTTTGACTACAGTTATTCTGTGTCAGAAACCTTTTATGTGTCAAATATTTAATTACAATCCAAATTCAGACCTGTATCAAGCGCGAATATTGCGTCCATTTTTGCCCCAACTTTTCAGGGTTGGACCTCTGCGGTCATATCCAGCTGCGGTCGTATCCAGCTGCTCTCGGCGAAGCTTTTTATCTGGACTTATTTGAATTTGCACATCCTCTAATGAATTAATACATGTATCTACAGATCAAGGAATCCAGTAGTATTTGAATTATCTTTTGATGAACTAAGATAAGTAAAAGTTTCATTCATTTATAAATTGGGATAAGATTTGACTGACTGTTTTTGATTGTTTATGATTTTTAGATATTTTCTAATAGAAATTGATATCAAATATATAGAGTAAAGTTGAATAAATACAATTGAATATTCATATTTTACCTAGATTTAAGACAAAATATGATATCTGGTTGATATTGCAGCTGGTCTTGTCACACAAACTGTGGGAGTTATCTGTTTATATCTCAAATATGAGTTGACATTTGTGAGTTAATTGCAATGCAAATTGTGGTGTAAACCGTGTTTCAAAGTGACAAGTTTTTTTCAGGAAAAGGTTTTAAAAAAGGATCAGGCGCCAATTAAGGCATATTTGAGACATAGCAACCACGTTATACTGTAGAAAAAGACAGTATGGAATTATTACTCAAGTCAACATCAAAGAAATACATTTATAGAAATTTATTTTTGAAATGATTGTGACAAAGATTTTTTTTTCTGGAGAAAATACAATTTGATGTCTCTACGACAGAAATCAATAAGTTGTTTATAAAATTCTGTACGGACCTGTCAGTATAATGACAACATCAAAGTGATGTGAACGTTAACTCATCTTTTTATAGGATTTGTCACCAATTGTTAGTGCCATTTAAATGTAGCGAGGTATTGTAATTGATAAATGGCAGGATCATGTACGATAAATTTACAGATGATTCTATTTTTCTGCTAATTGTAACGTGCCAGTGACTGCATTTCTTATACAAAGAATTGAACTTAGTCTATTTGCTTCTGCTTTTATTCCAGTAGTGATTTCAATCCAAAGATTTATATTGTTGAGGTTTCTGAAATGTTGAGTATTTATTGTTTTAAACAAAAAAGATTTAATTGATCTGAACACTTTTATCTTCATGACCTTTCAGTGGGAATATTTTTATTGCACCAAGCAATGAGATGTTTAAATTCTATATACAAACTTAAGATGGTCTGTCCTTTCCACAAACTGAAGTTATAATTCTAATCTTTTAATGTGGGAATTCTTAAAACCAGAAAAAGATAATGGCACACTTAGGGCAACTTATTTTCTACTAAGTAAATTGCAATAAAACATTAACAGGATAACAGGAATTCCCATAAAACATTGGACAATATAACAGACCATGCTAACTAAATGCAGGTAGTCATCAAGATCTATAAATCTACTAATCATTCGAATCTGAGTTTTACATTGACCTACAATTTCAAGGTATGGTAGTGTAAATGTAGTACAACTCATTGCTTTAACAGATAAAGTTTACACTACTGTTTGCATGAAGTTCACTTTTTCCATTCATCTACAATGGTAACCAAACCATTACCTGTTTTGTTTATATCATTTGTTTTATAGAAATGTTGTTTCAAATGAGCATAATAATAATAATAGTACCCGGTAGTAATAATAATATTAATGACTTTATTTAAAGAGGGTGACTCAATTAGTATTCACTAATCTACCTTGAGGCCCTCACCAAAAAACATACAGAACAAGTATTACAAATATTACAATTTTTGAACATATAATTCAACTTTCACGCTAAATGATTGTCTGTAGATCAAGAAAAACAAAATAATACATTATACACAAACATTAAAAAGACATGATAAAGTTAGAGGGTTTTTACAGCTCATTCATAGTTAAAAAATATCTACACATTTTCTTTTAAAAGTATCAAGATTTTCACATAGTTTCACATAGCATCTGCCTTCAGGGTTTTTATTTCCCCGCCGTAGCGAAGGGGGCATTATGTTTTACCCTTGTACGTCCATACGTCCCAAAATTGGTTTCCGTTCTCTAACTTAAGTTTGCCTCAACCAAATGTTATGAAACTTATACACAATGCTTATTACCACAAAACACAGTTCTTGAGTTATGTCCCTTTATAACATTATATGCAAGCGGGGGCATCATCTGTGTCCCATGGACACATTCCCATTTACTGCATTTTAATACTTGAAGCTTTAAAAACAATGGAGTATATGATATAACAATACAAAAATTAATCAATGTCTCTTCAGGCCAAGTAGCATTTTATGAAACTTTGGATCATATCTCCCAAAATCTATATGGAAATTTGATTTATTTATATAAAAACAAGGAGATGTGGTATGATTCTCAGAGAGACCATGAACCACCAGAAACCAAATGGCATGGATATAAGCAACTATAAGTCACCTTTAACAATGAGCAAAACCCGTACTGTTTAGTAAGTAATAAAAGGCCCTGACATGACAAACTGTAAAACAATTCGAACAAGAAAACCAAAACAGCCTGATGTATGATAAAAAAGTTATGAAAAAAATGTCTATTTAATGAAAAGATGACTGCACAGTCTGTAAGCTACCATGTGGCATTCAGTGCCATGGATTGTTTGTTTAATACATAAATTTTCACTTGTACTCAGTTGAAAATGAAATCGCTTGTTACGCTATAATGTAGAACTTCTACTTTTCTTTTCAGATCAATGCCAAGACAGAGTTAGCTTTACGATATAATGACATTTCACCGTTAGAAAATCATCACTGCTCAGTGGCGTTTGAAGTTTTAGAAAAAAGACATTGTAATGTTATGAGAAATTTTTCTAAGGATCAATATAAAAGGGTACGCGAGGGAATGATAAGGTAAATGAATTGGAAAAGAATAAAAAGAAAAGTGATGGAATAGATTAATATCACTTCTTCAGAATAATTGAAAAGGTCAAGCATTTAATTCTTCAAAATGTATCTATTGATCATTGTGATGTAGAATGAGAGTGAAGAATAGATCTATTTTTAATGATACTACAAAATCTAAAAGAAGATTTAGGGAATATATCAATGAGACAAGTATCCAACCACATAAAACACAAACAGACATCTAGAGGTCAAGATATGATTCAGTGTCTGTACATTATGTTAAGCAACTAATCGCCTGTAGTTTCTAAAAAAGTGAATAAATGATTGAAAGTACTTAAAAAATGAATTTAGAACACTTAAATCTACATGTAGTCATATGTTTAATGTATTTAGCTTCAAGAAATAATATCAAAATGTCGATTATCCATTTCCACTTTTATTAATTTGATTAGCAAAATCTTGTGTGAGCTTCAGGTACTCTAAAAGACAATGCATATCATTTATTCTGATGTTAGAAAATGATTATAGAATAGGCTAGAATATTTCAGAGTATTGTTCGATATATTTATTCAGAATTTTTTGATACTCAATTGCTCCAGAGTGTTTCTTATGAAAAAGAGCAAGAATTGGTCGAATATAGAAAGATGGATAGTGCAGTGTTTTGATCTTCAACAACATAAAAAAATACAAACTGTACATAAGGCAAAGAATAAATTGAAGACCTTTTTATGCCCCTGCCGTAGCGGTGGGGGCATTAAGTTTTACCCTTGTCCGTCTGTACATACGTACGTCCCAAAATTGGTTTCCATTCTCTAACTTGAGTTTGCCTCAACCAAATGTTATCAAACTTATACACAATGCTTATTACCACAAAACACAGATCAAGTTTGAATTTTGGTGGCGTCACTTCAATCGTTCTAGAGTTATGCCCCTTTATAAATGGAAAAATTGCTTAAATTTTTTTCGTTTTCGTTCTCTAACTTTAGTTTGTCTCAACCAAATGTTATAAAACTTATACACAACTTTTCTAGAGTTATGCATGTTAACAAAAAGAAAAATTGCTGAATTTTTAGTTTCTGTTCTCTACTTAAGTTAGCCTCAACCAAATGTTATGAGACTTACACACAATGCTTATTACCACAAAACTCAGATCAAGTTCAAATTTGGGTAGCGTCACTTTTACCGTTCTTCAGTTATGTCCCTATATAACTATATGATATGCAAGCGGGGGCATCATCTGTGTCCACATTTATTTAAATGTTAGGTGATAGATAAATGTATGTTACCTACATATTTTCTAGTGGAGGCTTGGTGGCAGAGTGGTCTTAGTAGTCTATCTTCTGTATCACTAGCCTGTCAACACTGAGGTTGTCAGTTGGAACCCCTGTGTGGGAGGTGCCTTCCACTTCAATGTTAATTGGCTAGGATTGTCAGTTTTCCTTCCAAGGTTCCCTATGGGCATTCTGGCTTCCTCCACTAATGAAAATTGAACTCCACAATATAGCCAAATGAATAGTGCTGAAAATGGTATTAAACACCAATAATCAATCAATCATAGTTTGTAGGTGTATTTTACAGATTAATGTATGTAAATACACATCTTGTAGATGTATTTTACAGATTAATGTATGTAAATACACATCTTGTAGATGTATTTTATATATAAATGTATGTAAATATACATCTTGTAGATGTATTTTATAGATGAATGTATGTAAATACACATCTTGTAGATGTATTTTATAGGTAAATGTACTTCAACTTATTTTGTAGGTGTATTTTAGCAACAGATATGGCTAAACATAATGAAATACTCAGTAACTTTAAATCATGTACTCCGTCATTTGACTTTAACAACAAGGATCATAAAGCTTTGGTAAGTAATATATTATGAATATTAACTGCAGGATTAATTTACAGATGGTTATGGCTTAGATATAGCACTTTGAATTGACAAAAACAAAATGTTTTAACATTTGAATCCAATCTTCTAAAATAACTTAAGGGCTGTTCCAGAATTGACTATATGAGGGGTCAGAAATCAATTCTATTTAAAAAAAAATTGCAATGTTTGTAAAAAAAAAATTTTTTCATGAGAAAATACAATTTTTATGCATTGTGAAGTGAAATGAAAAGTGCCTCCGTACATTTATGTTTTGAACAGCTCTAAATATTACAAAAGTTCCGCAGTAAAGAAAAAATAATAATCTCTGGTATCTTCTTAGTTTAGGAACTTTTCACAACAGTAAAGTTATTGATTGGTACTGTCTGGTTTTCACTGGAAATACAATATTTTCTTTAATTTAAAATGTTATAACCTCAGTATTCGTATATCAAAGCTGCAAAGTGTTGTCATGGAAAAACTGATTACAAATTTGTTTTGAAAATGTGAATTGATATTTTAGATGACGATGATATTAATGAAAGTATCTGATATATCAAATGAAGCACGACCCATGGATGTAGCAATGCCTTGGTTAGATTGTTTATTAATGGAATTTTTTAACCAGGTATTTCACACAAACCCTTGTTGTGAGTGCTTTAGAAGAAAAAATGTTGTTATTTTACCAATTTTTGCACTATTTTGTTTTAATTTACCACACAGTTTTAAATTATTTTATTTTTTTTTTATTTTTTAAATTTTAAAGTGTTATGTTTTTTTTTGTTTTATTATTATTGTTATTTTATTTAGAATATAAGTACTAGGCAAAAATATATTTAGACATAATCTCTTTATAAGGATAATGAAAAAAATCAACTAAAAATACAGTTGATTTTATAAAAATTGAAGTATCCATCTTACAAATATCAGTTTTATAAAAAAAAAAAAATACTTCAAAGATAAATATTGTTATTTAATACTTCAAGATTACTAAAGAATGACCTTAATATTTTCTGTAAAGTTCAGAAAAAATAATTAAAAACCATTTTTTTAAAGAATCTAACCACAACCTCACCTTGACTTTTCCTTATTATGTTATTAAGTGATGCTAACTTTGAGACAGGTTAGTTGTAGAGTATTTGTATTTGGATTCTGAAGTAAATTTTTCGGTGTGCAAAAATTTATTTTGTTGCTAATATTCCTTTTTGTTTTAAGCTAATATTTTTTGTATATATTTTACATGTTTTTGTATCTGTAATTTAGAAGAAACATTATTAATGAGTTCCTGGCACCTTTTCAACATCATGATTTTTTTATTGGGAAATTTTTCATCAAATAAAAGAGAGTGTTTTCCACGAAATGGTTGAACTGGATTTTGAGGAATAGTTTTAAACACTATTTGTTTTATTCTGGTCGGTCAGTTGGTATGGAACTTAAATATCTTCAGGAGAAAATTAAAGAATTATTGTGTGTGAAATAATCCATTGCTATATTCTATTTAACACACGTTAAATATCAGATTATCATCCTTTTACATTTTTATACAGAAAAAGTGCTAAGTGTGAAAAGGGTATATCTAACCACAATTTCTAAAATCTAGTGTTTTTTATGACCCTTGTACAAATGTCAGTTAACATTTTTGGTTTTGGTGTTACAAATATATTGGCCTAGAGCATCAATGAAGAGACAAATATTGTTGAATTGCACATCTTTTGCTGTTAAAATGTGTACTGTTGTAATTGCAGTGTAGATTTTGGAAATTTTGATAAAAGTATAATGGGGAAAATATCATTTCAGAATCTCTGGCATATAAACGCCCACAGTGTTTTAATTTACAATGTAGTAGATGTAGCCCTTCATTTTACCTTTTTTTTAATCCTTCCATTTCTTAATTTAGCTTTGTTTTTAGTTCTGTTTTTAGGCTTTTTATGTTATGTGTGTGTTGTTTCTTCAGTTATTAATGGTCCTACTAAAAATAGCAGATATTTCTAATGAATGTCGACCTCTGGATGTAGCTGAGCCATGGCTTGAATGTCTTTTGCAGGAATTCTTCAACCAGGTAAATCACTTGTGTCATTCTTAATTATATTTTCTTATAAATATGGATATTATCACTTAAGGGCTATTTGAGCTATTACTATCACTTGGCAACCTTGGTGGTTGTTTAAACATTTTCAAACCACTTAGCCATTTTGGACAAAACTTGCCTTTCTGCCAAACAAAAACATGGTCCCCATAGCTAAAAATAAGACATTGGGGTACAATGCAAGTAATTGTCTATTGTCTGGGAAATCTTATGAGGCAAAAGTGTCAAGGTCTGTCTTCGATCTGCCATTCATCTAGACCACACCTTACAGGAGTTTTAAATACCTCACAAATGATCATTCTGACAATTTTTAGCATTTTTGCCCATTATCTTGGAAACTAAAGTAGATATACAGAAGCTTTGAAAATCCCAAATGACCAGCATTACAAGCTCTACAAATAAGTCAAATGACTAAAATTGTCAAACAACTTCATTAAGGTTTACTGCCCCTAAATCTGTTTGCTGATTTTTGTGTTTTCCACCCATTATCTTGAAAATTATAATAGATAGACAGAAACAGTACACATCAAAAATTAGCCAGGGCAAAATTTTCACATGAACTGAATTGAGTTAAGTCATCCATCGATTCCTTATACCAATTATTTATATTTAAAGAAGATTTTTGAACTATTTTAGTGCTTATATCTTGAAAACTAAAATCAATAGATAGAATTATGAAACAGCTAAAATGGTCAGTATTACGAATAATTTAAATGACAATATTTACCAATATTTGAGTGTTTGGAAATTATCTTGAAAACTCTAATAGACAGACAGAAAAAGTAAAGCTGATAAGCTATAAATGACAAACAAGGCACATAACTGAACTCATCAATTGACCCCTTTTAGGAGTTATTGCCCTTGAATGGTGATTCTTTTGCTATTATCTTAAAAACTATATAGACAGAAACTGTAATAGGGAAAAATGATCAGCCAGACAAGATCCACATACTGTTATTATTACATTAGTGGACTCCTTATAGGAGTATAGCAGTAGAACATGGTTGGTCTTCAAAAATTATCATTGTTCTACCCGGTGAAACTTGTATGGAATACAGCAGAACTAATATGAATATTCTGTAGCAATATATAAATTTATATTATTCTATTTTTTGCCACATATTAAAGAAACATCATTTTAAAAAGATGATTTGCACTTTTGATGTCATGTTAAAAGGAAACCATGCTTGATTATATCACATAGAAAGAACAAAAAATGATTTGCAGATCATTGAAAAAAGAAAGACATCGTTTGCCAATATCGAGAATAAAATCGTTAGAGAAACAGATTCTACCACTGTATCTCATTCAATATATTTGTTCACTTGTTCATTCTTGACAGTTAAATTTTAAATATTAAAAATGTTTGGCAAGCGTCACCTTTTAAATTTGATAATTTTAATTGTCTCCAGTGATGAAATATGTCATCACACTAGAAATAGTGGTAGAATCATTATTTATAAAAGTATCTGGATGAAATAAGGTTACGTAACCCGGTTTGTAAATGCATCTAACTTAGTTTTGTTATTTAATAGAATCAATAGGGAGACAAAGCAGTTGAACAATTTGATATTACCCTATGGTATTGAAGCCTTTTTACAAAGATGACAAAGGCATTAAAATTGAAAGCATGAAATACGACGACTGAAACGAACACAAACACATGGTTAATGCTTAATTTTTTAAATTACAATGTGGTAAATTAATAAACATACATAATTCAGTGAATTTAAATCATATATATCTAATAAACATGTCATTGTTATGATATTGTTTGGTGAAAGGAAATGGAATGATGATGAACCAAGTCAGGCATTAGAATTAGAGGCATTTCAAAATGATCATTTATGAGACAATTTGGCGGCGACAGCGTAAACTATTTGTATAAAGCTTTATATTTCAGAAGGTAGAAGACTTGGATGCTTCGTACCTTGTATACAGATACCTTATGTTACAAAGTTTCTGTCTGCCATATGTCTATTATCCTTGACCTCATTTTCATGGTTCAGTGACTGCTTTAAAAAAATTACAGTTTTTTGTCAAGTGAAATACTCACTTGTCATGAGTAATAGGATAACTATATTTGGTATATTATGGGTCCCTTGCAATGTCTACATGTCTGTCAGGTAGGGTTCACCTGACCTTGACCTCATGTTATGGATCAGTGATCAAGGTTAAATTTATGTGGTCAAGTCCGTACCTCAGATACTATAAGCATTAGGTCAACTATATTTGGTGTATGGAATGATTGTAAGGTGTACATGTCCGACTGGCAGGTTTGATCTGACCTTGACCTCAGTTTCATGGTTCATTGGACAATGTTTAGTTTTGTGGTTTGGTCTGTTTCTGAGATACTACAAGGAATAGGGCCACTATATTTGGTGTATGGAATTATTGTAAGGTGTACATGTCCGTCTGGCAGGTTTCATCTGACTTTGACCTTATTTTCATGGTTCATTGGACAATGTTTAGTTATTGTGCTTTGGGCTATTTCTCAGATATAATAAACAATAGGTCAGTTATATTTTATATAATTGTGAATGGAATGATTGTAAGGTCTAAATGTCTGTCTGACTTGGTTCATCTGACCATGACCTCATTTTCATAGAACATTGATAATGTTAAGTTTATGTGACACTTGTAGAAAAACCTTCATATTACAGACTTTCAAACATGAATTCAATGATTCAAGTAAGACAGAGGAGACCTTTCAGCATGTGCACTCTTGTTGTAATTTGGCATTTAACAAGAACAATCAATTAGATTTTTATTTTGATATATGTACCTTAATAAAACCTTGCCATTTTTAATTAAGCATTATTTTTACATGTTATGCAGCCATGAAATGACAGTGACGAAGCTGACTTATGTATAACTTGGCTGTTTGACTCAGACATATACAGCACAACCCTCACACAAAAGTATATTCAAAAATATCTTGTGTATTTCTTACACTGACAATTTCTTGTAGTCTCTTGGTTATTAGCCACTAATTTTGAACATTACTATAACTTTTGCCCAAGTCTGGCAATTCTCCCTAAATTAATCACTTGAAGGATACATTTTTCTACTTACAGAACCTTAATTCTGACATTTGAAAAATATAACCTGTAATTCCATCACTAAGAGTCTTGCATTCTAGGTAATATTTTGAAAGCGCAGACCACAATGTTGTGATTTGTTAACAATACCTTTACGATGGATATTCCGTTAATTGAGTATAACGCTATTTTCAGTTTGGTGCTCAACAATGGAATTACCCATACTCCTTTTAAATTGTATCATACATTTGTTTTATTTAATTTCAAGGCCAAGTAAGCCCAAAGATGTACCTTATTGTTTCTTTGGCCCTACATTCAACACTATAAGTATATGTAGGATGGGGATGCTGAAGTGCGACAATCAGGCTGAAGTGCGATGGTCTGCACCGATGTACGATGGTCCTTTCGCTGAAGTGCGATGGTTTGGCATGACGCTTGAATGTTGTGATGTTTTCAAAAACAACTTTGCCTTAAATACAGCAGGAATTCGCATGCAGGAGGATAATATTTTGTAAATGAAGGTTTCATGCTAACAAAAAAAAAGGAAAGGAAAGGAAAGAAAAAAAAAAGTAACGAACGTTTCAAGTCCCGAACAGTTTTGAGCAGTGCAGGTTGAGGTTATCAAAATATGTAAAACCAAGTCAGGCATCAAATTGTGGGGAGCAAAGTGACTGAAAGATGAACTTGGTCTGCAGTATGACCCAACTTTTTTGTACGACAAATAAAATATATGGCTCTCAATATTAATTTGACTTCTCTTCAAGTATGCCTCACATGATTTTATGTGGACAATTTTTATAATAAATAAATCATTAGCAAATGTTTTGGTTATATTATGTCGAGATAATTTTGTTTTATTCCTGGGATAAATCCTTCTTTGTAAGAAAACTGGTACTCTTGCCTAATTTTATTGTGTTTACAGTGGTAATCTTCTTCCACAAGTTAGGCCGAAATAAACCCGACTGGTCCATATGTTTACTTCCCAATTTCTCCGGTTCAGCATAGAAGCAGCTAATCTTAAAGTTTTTTGATGGAACACATGACATGTCTCGACATAGGTCAAGCATGATAGACTTGGCTTTCTCTTGAAAACTGTTTTGACATCAGATAAATAGATGAATAATTGATGTGAGTAATTTCTCAGCTATGACATGACGAGCACAAATTACATTTGATAAAATGAGATGGACCCTTCTTAGTTCTTTAGACTGCCACGCTTAATTTATTTTTACTCTTGAACACTCCATATAAAGACATGTTCTCCCACTCGAATCCATTGTACTTAAATCTGAACTATCTAGTCTATTTTCTGACTCCATACTGCTACATGCTAGGCGGAGAATTCTTTTGTTTCACCTGACCAGAAATCAAAATCAACCTTCCAAATACAAGGCTAGCACGCTAGCCACTACACCACTGTGGTTCTTACTTCAGACCATTGCATTTTAGCTAGTATACACCATTGCACTTCATCGTAACAATCAACGTCAACATCACAGTTAGACCATTGCATTTTAGCTAGTATACACCATCGCACTTCATCGTAACAATCAACGTCAACATCACAGTTAGACCATTGCATTTTAGTGTAACCACCAACACACTTCAGCTTAGCTATCAATAAGTTAGCGTCACAATGTCACCATCACACTTCAGCGTAGACCATTGCACTTCAGCGTGACCATCACGGTTCAGAGTACCATCGCGGTGCAGAATCCTATATATATGAATTAAATATATACACACCCCCCCCCCCCCCCCCCCCTTAAAAAAAACAAAAAAAACAAAAGATTGACAACAACAACAACAATAAAGTGTTTGGGGGGTAAATAGGAATCATCCTGTCCACCTGTCTGTCTATCCATCTTTCCAGGTTCCTTGTACCCTCTACTCCTCCAGAATGGCTAGAAAATATTGCTGTAACTTTACACAGTTGTAAAACACTATCTTAGGATGTAAAGAAATATAATCCAACATGATGGAAGGGAGATAATAAAGAAATATAATCCAACATGATAGAAGGGAGATAATAAAACAATTTTGCTGTATTGTTGTATAGGAATATCTTTTTGTGAGTTGAGTCAAACTTCTAGTTATTTTTTGTATTATGTTTTAGAGTGACATAGAAAAATTAGAAGGCTTACCTGTGGCACCATTTATGGACAGAGAAAAAGTAACAAAATCATCATCACAGATAGGCTTTATCAAATTTGCATTACTTCCATTATTTGAAGCTTTGGGGCAACTCTTCCCTGTGATTGAGGTTAGTATGGCTGCTAAAGTAATGTTAATGGACAAAATAACAAGATGAGGAGGAAAAAGTTTAAAACTAAAAACTGTGCAAAAAAATTACACTTGTGAACTTACTTGCTAAAAGAGGATTATGACTTATGATGTTGATGAACATTTACAACTTGATGCAATAAAATTGTTTGTTTCTATTTGTACAGGTTTTATCAGAAATAAATCCATTTTTTTATAGTTTTCACATTCCTATATAAATTGCATTTCAGAAAGACATTATTGGACCAGTACGGAATGCATTAGACTATTATACAGATATGCAGCGAGCTTTAGAAGAAGAAAAGAAGAAAAAGGATGCTGAAAGTTCTAAAAATGGCATAACAAAATCAAACAGTCAGAACACTGTACCTGTATAGCACTATAAAATAGAAAAGTTAATGACAACTCAAATGGGGACTGTCTCAAAATGTAACAGGGGCTTACTGGCCAAAGAAGATGGTCTACAATTGTGCTGTGTAATTGTTATACCTTTTTAGGATTTTGGTATACCTTTTTTCATTACACACTTCAGTCAATTGATATAGATATTTTAATGATTTATATAGTATGCTACCTTTTCGTATTATTACTTTCTTATCTGGTAAATCTGACCATAGTTATGTAATTTTGCTGTGTTTACTAGTAAATTTTAAATGGAGCATTTTTAAAGAAAAACAAAGTATTTGCTCTGACTGCCATTTCATTGAATTTAAATAAAAAGCATTAATGTTACGTTATGTAAATTGATTGAAATTAAGCATGAAATATTTCAAATATGAGATATTCTGTATTTAGAAGTGTTCTTCACAGCCAGAAAAAAAAATCTATTATAAGTCAACATTTTGAGACAGTCTCCATACAGTGAAGATCAAATTTATCTACCTCTGGTGTATGTAACAATATGTAATTGTAATTTATAGTGATACATACTCTTTATGTTGGCTGTATACTCTGGTAGTGTTTTTGTAATCAGTATAAAAAGGTTTTTTTTTAGTTGCTGAAGTTCCTTGTGGTAGTTATTGTGCTTAACATTCTGAAGCTATTGCAACGGAACTGTATCCAAATGGGGTTTTAAAAAATCAAATATCATTATCAAGTAAAGGTGAAATGTATCATTTGAGTTGACCCATTTTGTAGAACCTACTCATTGGATTTCTTTTATTCAATTTTCTCCTACATATGCGTGAAATATTTGCTACTGTACACAATTTCATCTGCATATTTTATTCCACATACTAGAAACACCACTCTAATTTTGTTTATGCTCGAAGTCAATGTACTCCCCTTTTTCTAATGATAACGATCGTCCTGCTGCTAAATGAAAAAAGAAAAGTTAACAGATTGTTTAACTGTGAACATATTCATCGATGCAATCATGGTGGTTTTATCATGTCAAAGTTTCGAATATATAGTTCGTATATTTTTATAATTACAACAAAAGAAAGATAACCAGTTCAATATTTCTCAGAATGTTATAAATTATTTAACATTTTAAAGTTCAAATTTCTATGAGATGTTAAATATATATTGATTAAAATTTTCATAATATAAAAAATTGGTATCAATTAAAATTTTTATTAAATAGAGATTAATATTGTTTAAATTTTTATTAAATAACAAATTTATAACTGTTAAAATGTTTGATGGATGTTCGACTATTAATATTGATTAATTTTTTTTAATAAAAAAAACAAATTTATATTGATATTTTATCATAAAAACTAATAATAAAATATCATTACGGAATAGTTCTGTTTAAAGAACAAAAGGAAAGAGTTTGACTATGCAAATCATTAATATGAATTTAAAATTTTAAATTCTTCAATTGAAATTCTATAAAAGAGAATACAGATTTTTAAATCCACTTAAGAGCAAGCACAGAAATTTTCATTTGTAATTAAAAAATAAAAAGCATGTTTACTGAAAATCATTGCTTACTCTTTGATGGGATTATAAAAGTATTATAGCTAAAATAAATCTAGAATATCTTTGAAAATTATGGCAGTAAATTGACATTTCTTGACTTTTAATCTGGAGATGTGAGGTATTAGTGTTAAGAAAGAAATTATTCTAATTAGAGGGAACAGTAATGTATATGTGACGGGCTGATCATGTGAAATATAGGAATATATAAAGAAAATTATTTTGTTTTGTATGAACTTGTGAATTATTGTATTGATGTGTTATTGCCCGTTAATTTTTCACACAAGGAAAACAAGTTTGTGATAATTTTTACAAGTTGTTATATTTTTATTATGATTATACTTTTATATTTTGATAATTAATTCAGTTTAATTGATATTCATACTAGAAAATGTATAAATTTCTGAATCTCCTGTTTGAGTATCAAGTCAAACTAGAGAACATTAAATGGCCTTTTCAGACTCTGCTTTCTCAACTGAATAACATAGGCATTCAACTATTTTTCACTAATAACATTAATTCGACTACGGCAAATTCATTTGTTATTGTAAGATTTTGATAAATATGTAGAGATGTAGAGCATTGATGGCATTTTTCAAACTCTGTTTTCTCGACTGAATAATATAATTACTTTTCACCAATTTGACTACAGCAAATTCATTTATTATTGTAAGATTTTGTATGTATTTTCATTCCTGTTTGTATTTTTTCCACAACCTGTACATGGATTGTATTAATTAACTTGTATTTTGTCAGTAATCAGAGATCCCAGTATATAGTCTAAATGTTAAGCTTTCGGATTAAGTCCATTTTAAACTGTTACGTTAAATCATTAAAAGGAGGAGATATGATGAGGCTACTTTTTTCCCATTGGGTTAGTCATTAATATTTAGATATGAGTCTAGACTTTACCCCTTAAAAATATTTTGCTGAAAGATGCAGGGGAGATCAAACCATTTTGAAAAGGGGGAGTTCCAACCATATGTCCCATTCAAAAGCATTGATCATCAAAAAAGGGGGGGGGGGGGTCCAACCCCCTGAACCCCTCCCTGGATCTGCCACTGAGATGAATTTTTCAGAAATTTTTGTGTGAAATATTTTCTTGTAAGGCCTTTGCTCATATGATATGCCAGTTTCGTCATGATTAAGACATCTTGAGTTACATTTTCGCACTAAACTGTCCAGATTATATCAACCTGTTCATTTATAAATGGAGTTCACATAAATAAATAAATTTACTATTTTTGCAATTTCAGTGGCCAAATAGTGGTTCTTATCATACCTCCACCTTTCATAAATATCATCCATGTGACCCAGTTTCAACCTCTCAGTCATGATCTAGTAACTTTAAGTTTTATGAAGAAGTATTTATGATATGCAATTGCATTAGCATTCATGACTTGTGATGGGGGTGAATTTGTGGCTCCACCTACATCGTCATACATCAGATCTAGAAATGTTTACATTGTTCAAATAATAAGTTACCTGATTAGGTATTGTATTTAAAGACATATTTATGGTATGGCATTAATATATATTATGCTGTATCAGCATCAATACACCTTAGGTTCAGCACTATCCCTCAAGTCATGCTTCAGTGACCTGGACTTTTTTATATTGAAAAAATGTTAAGTTTTTCTTGACTAGGTAGTAAGCAGGTATAAACTTTACTATTGATATTTAACATATAGTTGCATAAGTGTCCCTGTTTTAAACTTTGAGAATGATATTAGGCATGTCACCTGCATCATGCTCCGGGTACTATGGAACTTTTACAGTTAACTTATAATTGGTTTTCTGATTAAGAATGATTGCAAACAATTACTTTTTCAGCCTATTGATATTTAGTTACCTGTTGCTACGCACCTCTACATTTGTGTTTCAAGCAGAATTTAAGACTTCATTGAATTTTGAAATTTTATATTGATCAAATGTTTTGGAATGAATTCAAATTACTTTTTATAGACAATTTATAATTTGGAATTAAATAATACTAAAATCTGAATACAAGTCTTTCATTTACAAGAACATCTTGAGGCTATATATTTTTAGGAAATTACACTGAAGCCCTATTATATAATTCATGATAAGCACCTAAAGAATTGAAAGATATTACCTGCAATATAGATATTGTTTTATTTATAATTAGTCAAAAGTACTTGTATATATTAGATGTCATAAAGGTCCATGCACATTATTGAAGGGTCCTGGATATCAGATTTGCAGTTTTTTACCCTGATTGTTATGTGTTGTAAACTTTGAACAAGTTGTAAGTAAATCATGTCCGTCCATATTGCCTACAGCTGCTGCTCCGTCAACCCCTGACTGTGCCAAACTACATAAAGAATGTTTCAACAATGTAAAATTGGATTCTGTATTTTCATTCATTATTTTTTCTTCAGTAATTCGGTTTTGGTTTTTTAACAATTTCACATTTGGTACTACTGATAGCAGTAGTATGTTTTAACATTAAAGAATTTAACATATTGTTTCAAGTACAGGAAAATAGATAATATTTTAGTTATTCATTCATGCTGGTACATAATATATTGGATAGGCATCATTGATGCAATTAATTAAATATAAATAAGTTGCTACTGTATGTATGAACAATTTTATTTGAAAGAATTTGAAAGAAATATATAACAATTTCAAATCTCTAAATTTAGTCTCATCATTGTATGGGTGACTTCTATCAAATATTTTTTTTTGCAGTGGCAAATATTTATTTGATAACCACATGATGCTGTGGTAAGAAGAAGTTCAGTCACAAGTTCTTTTTAACTTAAAGAAAAAAGATTCAAGATACTTTAAGATTTCTTTAGTTTATTTATGTAGTATTATTTTTATAGTATTTATAATATATTTTTATAGCCCATGCCTGAAATAGAGTAAGAAAACATTCTAAAATTTATATTGTGAATATTGTTTTTTTTTTTTTAATTGAATTGATTGCTATACAGATAAAAACTTGTCAAGAAGGTATTGGTATTGTTAGGATTGTAGTGGTATCTTTTTTTAATGAAAGATGCAAATTCATACACTGCAGATCGCTATATATTATCTCCCTTGCTGTATTTGTTACAACAAGACAAGCTGTGGATTTGTAAATGTAATATGACAAAGTTAAGTGCAGTTTTTTGGTTTGAAATGGCTTTAATTTTATATGATTACATTGGACAGATTATTTCAGTTCATATTTTTTTTTAACTTTCACCAAAAAAGTGATACATGCCAAAGAGTTCTAAACAGGCCAAAATTGTTCAACAGTACTAGTGCAATTTGTCCAAAATTGTGATAAGATTAATTAAAGATAAAAAAAAGTCTTTAATTATAGGAATTAAATTCCATACAGGATCAGATAAGTATTTTAAAGAAAAAAATGCTAGCAGTAAGATTATCTAGAAGTTCTATATTAATTTTCTGGAATTGCAATGTTCATTTTCATATTATTTCAAATATTCATTTTGATGAATGAAAAAAAGGAAGTGTACCATTGATTTCTTTTTGATTATGAATTGTTATATTTGTTATAATACATTGCTTTCATCAGGAAACTGTTTCATGAGAATATATTAAGACTGAATACATGACTCTTACATCAATTTATTTCTTTGAGGATTTAAAGACCACCTGTTTTTTTTAATTTTGATATTCCTTTAACATGTCATGTGCAATATACTGCTTGCAGATACAGATGTTTTGAATGATTTTTCAAAAAAAATGTAAGCAATTTAGCAGATAGGAGGAGGTATAATAAGAGATAAAAGTCATTAAATGGCAACTGATATGGCAAAAAGTTAAATTCTTCAACCCATTCAAAACAAGGTTATTTCTATTTATAAATACTAGGATAGGATAATACAATCTGGACACTATTTCATAAATGAAAGTTGTGATGTCTTATGAGGTCATAAACATGTTCAAGTTAACATATTTGACCTAAAATGGCCATTTTGCACAATATTTTTCATCAAATTAATAATGAACCAAGGCCTTACCCAAAAAGATATTTTACAACATAAACATCTTTGCATAAGACATCTCATAGCAAATTATTTTTTTGGGGTAATGCCTTAGCTGATAACTTAGTATCAATGACAAAATCTCTCAAAATGAGATGATTTTGGGCAATTTTTGCAGTTTTGCATCAAACGAGTGGAGTTCGAAGCCTTATTAATGCAATTTAAGATTTAATATACTTTTTGATTTTTGATTTTGAGTAGTCAACAATATAGCCTTATACCTTCTCCTATGTGAAGTTTGCTGAAAACATTTCAGCTGACAACTTCATGTTTCATTTGATACTAACATTATTAGTTTAAAGTACTTTAGTTTGTTAAATACAAATAGATCCAACTAAAGGTTTTAATTTCTACTATTTCTGTTACTTAATTTTGCAATGATGTATATACTCTTGTTATAGACTTCTTTAGATTTACATGAATACTATATTTATTTGGCTGATTATGTATATCTTAAGTTAATAATTTATAAAAAAAAAAACGATATTATGAAGGACAATGTCTTCTTTATTTACTGGCAGTAGTAGTCATGGATCTAGCAATCTGAAAAAAATTGACCACAATTTACATATTACTTAATCATATCCCTGGTCAGAAGGAGAAGGGGTATGCAGTTTTACTCCTGTCTGTCCGTATGTCCATTCATCCCATTAAATTTCTGAAGCATTTTCTCAGTAACAAAAAACAATAGCTTCCTGAAATATGTTATCAGGAGTCATGTCAGCATGCTATTTCTCATCACTTGGTGTCTATCGTTATCTGTTAACTTTTACAAAAATCATCTCCTCTGAAACTACTAGGTCAAATTGAGAATTTGTTTTCAAGTTCTAATTTTATGAATTATTTTTACTAACCAGTCAAGGAATATACATTAGGATTATCTTCCTTACAACGTTCTCATAACTCGCAACACCTGGATGATTTCAAACATCTATCTAACCTTGATCATCCGGGTGTCGATCCTCCTCAGTTTATCGGCTGGAACAAAATTATTCCATATACCGAAAATTATTTATAACTGGGGAGGAGGTGGGAGCCTTGACTGGTAAGTAAAAATAATTCATAAGATTAGAACTTGAAAACAAATTCTCAATTTTATATCATATATATTTTTACTTACCAGTCAAGGAATATACATTAGGATTACTGCTGATTTCAAAGCAGTCTGAACCTAAGGAGGAGTGTTATAAATAAATTATCTCACCTGAAGAGACTTTCTACAACACACATCTAATAGCAGAAAACTTCTCTGTGATTCTAAGTCATTTCAAACTTCATAATAAGTTCAAATTTAGTTCATAGTTAAAAACATATAAAATTCTTCCACCATTTAAAATGCTTCCACCAATAACATTTCAATGAATAACAAAAAACATGCTGAGCAGCTTGCCGAAAATATCAACTTAGTATATTTTCTGTAACACATTTACATCTAATTCACGCAAATAAAATCTACTAAAGGTAGATTCCGAACTCCAATCTGCAGATTCTAAGATCGAATTGATAGATGCTCCTTTAAAGAATGCCCAAGTAGGACCAATAGCTCTTGTAGAATGTGCATGTATTTTCCGTTTCCCTGATGATTCAGAGTCAGAATAAGCCTGTTTTATAATTTGAACAATCCAATGTGAAATGGTCTGAGAAGTAACCGGTTTGTGAGGTTCACATAAACCTAAAAATAATCTCCCTCTTTGGTCTTGCTGTAATTTTTTTCGCAACAGTTTTGTTTTATCTAAATATTGTAATAAACATTTCCGTGGATCTAAAGAAGTATTTTCAGTGTACGCAGGTACGAAAATTTTTGCTCCAAAATGTTTCTCCCTATCCTGTTTGGCTAGGCCATGTCTTATAAAAGTAATTCCTTTAGCCTGTATTCTCATGGAGCTTTCATCCGTTCTTAGTGCCTGCAGATCGCTACATCTCCTGAAAGTAGTAATGGCAGTTAAGAATACAGTTTTTAAAGTCAAATCTTTTAAACTCATTTGTTCAACAGTGTCAAAAGGACTATTTTCTAACATTCTTAATACTATGTGCAAATCCCACTCGGGTAGTAGTTTTGCGACTGGAGGCCTGGTATTGAAAACACCTTTAATCAATCTAATATTTAAGGATGTTGTCCAATTTGGAAATTATCTATTGGAGGTATTACTGTGGACAACATTGAGCGATATCCTGCAATTGTTCTGTATTGCAAACTACTATCAAATAAATATGATAAAAAATCAGCTATCTGACTTAGAGATATCTTATGGGGATCAACTTTCCTTGTACAACACCAGCTATTGAACTTTTTGAATTTTGAGCAGTAATCTTTTTGAGTTCCTTTCCGCCATGAGGCGGAGAGTAACTCTCTAGCTCCTTAAGAAAAGCCTTCTGTTGTAAACCGTTCGTTGATAGAAGCCATGCAGTCAGCTTGAAAACTTGTGGATTGGGATGATAAATCCGAGTTTTCGGTTGACAACAATTCTGGAATTACTGGTATCCTGATGGGAACTGCTATCAATAATTGAAGCAGCTCTGGATACCAATGCCTCCGTGGCCATTGGGGAGCTATCAACAAAATCTGATAATGGTACTGCCTCATATATTGTAGGACTTTGGAATCGGACAAATTTGGGGATATGCATAGGCGTACATTCTCTCCCATGAAATTGTCAAAGCATCCAGAGCTAAAGCTTTCTGATGCGGGCTCCATGAACAAAAAATTTCTGTCTGACGATTGTCTATTGAGGCAAATAAATCTATGAGAGGAGTCCCCCAAATTTGAAATAGATTCTGAACTACATGTTTGTTCAGAGACCATTCTGTATGTTGAATTTTGGTTCGACTGAGTTGGTCTGCTAAAATGTTCAATTTTCCTGTTATATGAGCAGCCTTCAACCGAATATTGTTTTGAATTGCAAGATTCCATAAATCCCATGTTTTGTAGCAAAGAGTGGGTGATTTCGTCCCCCCTTGTTTGTTTATATATTGGACCACTGTGGTATTGTCCGATCTTATCAGAACATATTGTCCTTTCAACTGATTTAGGAAGTGTTTCAGCGTTAAAAACACTGCTTCCAATTCTAGGGAATTTATATGCTTCTTGCATCTGTCGTTATGGTGACAGAAGTCTGAGCCAGTTGAAAATATTGGCTTCTCTGCGTGTTTGCTGAATTTTTCCACCATCTGAGATGTGATTTCAGATGAGGTGTAACTGGGATCTTTATTGATCCTGACAACTTGGTCTCCAAAATGAGAGGAGATGCAGTTGAATGGGTCTCTTGAACAAGCGTGCATTCGGAATTAACTCTATGCAAGATGCCATTATGCCTAGTAATTGTAGGAAGTGAAATGCTGACACTGCATTCCCTGATGAAAGAATTAATACTGCCATATTCAGTTTGTCTATTTTCTCCTGCGTTGGGCAAACTAGTCCCTTGTCCAAATGAAACTGTCCCCCTAGATATACCAATTTTTGAGTGGGTACTAACCTTGATTTTTCTCTGTTGATAAGAAAACCTAGTGAAATTAGGAGATCGAGACATTTCTTTCGATCTTGATATAATTGATTCTTGCTTTGATTGACTACTAACCAGTCGTCCAGATAGACTGCTAGTCTTACATTTTGAGTTCTCAGAAAAGCTACTACTACAGAAACCATTTTTGTAAAGACTCTCGGAGCTGAAGTCGGTCCGAAACAAAGAACTTTCCACTGATAACACTGGTTCTGAACAGAAAATCTGAGAAACTTGCGATGTTTTTGAAATATTGGGATGTGTAAATAAGCATCGCTTAGATCTAGAGAAATGGCCCCGTCTCCTATTTTTACCAAGCTTAATACTTTTGTGAGAGTGTCCATTTTGAAATGTATTTTCTTGAGATACCTGTTGAGGGGTCTGCGATTTATTACTGGTCTCATTGTCCCGTTCTTTTTGGAGACTAGGAAAAATGTACTGTAGAAACCTGTTGCTGCATCTTGCTGGCGAACAGGTTCTAGAGCGTCTTTTTCTATAAGAGTATTTATTTCTTGGATTAAAATATCCGAGTCTTTTAATGCCACAGAGGTTTTCCGTATGCCGGTCCAAAATGGCATTTCTAGAAACTCTAGTTTGTAACCCTCTGTTATTACTGACAAGACCCATTGATCGTCTGTTATTTTTTTCCAATTCTCCAGAAAAAATCTTAGACGACCCCAACTGGTATCTCGGACTGATTCTGATAAATTATTACCTTCAACTCTGAGTCAACTTCTGTTTTTCTTTGGGATCCGAAAAGAATTCCAGTTTCCACCTGTTTTCTTTTCTTTATCTTTTTTTCCCATAGTCATCAGCTTTATTGTCCTTCTGAAACTTCCTAGGAGCAGATCTCACAGAAGATTTATTGTAATTAAACCCTGAGCGTTTGTTATCAGCTGAATTAGCATTGTTATTATTAAAACTATTAGAACTGTATCTAGGAGCTTTATTTTTTCCAATCTTGACGCACCTGACTAGAATCAAAATTTCTCTTATTATTGTTTTTATATTCTGGTAACAGATCGTCCAGTTGCTCACGTTGCTCTTTACGTTTTTCAAGTTTGTCCTCCAAACCTTTACCAAATACACCCTCATTAGAAAGAGGTAAACACAACACTTTAGCCTGTATATCTTTCAAATTATATAAACCAGACTCAGTAGCTGCAGCTTTCCTGCGTATCAAATGGTTAAACGCACCTGTGCGTCCTACCTGATCAAGAGACTTTGTCGAAATTGCAAATAAGTCTTTCACCATTTGACAAGTTTCATCACTAACATTTTCATTTTCAACCCTCTCTAATAAGGTTCCTAATGCTTGTTGCATATACAACACTGATATAATACCCATGCGTGAAGCCACCTGCCCTTGATAGGCTAGATTTTCTATCTGTTTTAATGGTTGAGTAACCAACTGCTTGTGTTTATCCCATGACTTAACACTATTTGTACCATGAATAGTTCTTATCATTGGTTCTAATAAATCATTCAAACTGGGGACTTGCAAAAATCTTGCAGTTTACATGTATTAGTTTGTGATTAGATCAGTTTAAGATAAACTGCTAATGTTAAGTCTTCAGTCGACTCATTAGAGTTATTGCCCTTTAATGACGATTTTTACCATTTTTTGCATTTTTGCCTAATGTCGTAAAAACTATAATAGATAGATAGAAACTTCAAAAAGCAAAAATGATCAGCAAGACAAGATCTACTAATAAGCCAAATGTTCGAATTCTTCAGTCGACTTGTTATAGGAGTTATTGCCCTTTAATGATAAAATTCTAACTTTTTTTTTTGCATTTTTTGCCTAATATCTTGAAAACTATAATATATAAATAGATAAATAGAAACTTTAAA